ATACTTCACACCGCGTTGATCCACACTTGATCAAACGCCAACACACCTCCACACAACCTCCGAGAAGTTAGCGCCCTAGAGTGATGACAAAGCCAGAACTTCTCTAGTCCGAACTCTCGTTCACGGTTACAAGCCTCATACGCTTGAACCTAAAATGCACATTCATTATAAGTCCGCTTACCTAAGCCACGCAACGGTTTTATCATAAACTGCACATTCGCTCATTCGGTGACGGAATATGCAAGTGGATCTGAGATCCAGCAGTCCTTACACCCTTCTCATCACTCGGTAAGGATGATAACATGTCTCACATACATGCATCAAACTGTTACCTCACCCCCAACGGGTTCTGCAGTATTCAGATCTAACATATCTGAGGCTGATCCTGCACAAAAACGTTAGTATACACTCGGATCTACACTGATCCGAGCTTCCCTGCATTACACGTTAGTCACACATATACACACAAGCACACAACCTATTCTACCGAGACTATTGTCGTGCTACAATGCAGATCCGAGATCCACACTGCATTACGAACAACAACCACGATAGTCCACCACTACCGGAACTCCCCAGATCTGACGAAATCCTCCACAAACTCCTCAGATCTAGGCACTCACGACCTCACAACACTCAGATCTAAGACTTAACACTCCGCTCTCTCACTCAAAACACAGATCCGACCAAACTCTCTCAAAACCGAACTAACTCTCTTCTTTTCTCTCACGGACTCACTCTCTTTTCTTCTCTCTTTCTTTCTCTCTCACACACACACTAGCACGCCTAAGGTAGCAACCAATGGGGTGGGCTGAGGGTTAAGGGTCCTTTTATAGAGTTTCTCTACCAATGAGGTGTTAACACCACACCTTCTCTCCTCCAACCAATCATAAAGCGCCAACACTCCAACTAATCATTATCTCTTCTCCACCAATAGGAAATAAGCATGTGATAAATATGACTCATTCCTGCCTCCTTAATCCCGAAGTAATGGAATATATCCGTCTTCATCCCACGTTCACTCCGTTCGGCTCTATTTTGGATCTCAAGTGCGTCTATTAACTTCGTCCCAGATTTTGACGGTTTCCTCTAGTAGGTAGGCTCCTCTTAGGCTAAGTAGAAGTTGCCCAAATTCCCGAGTTGATAGGTCCATGACCGAATTGGTTTTTCTTCTGCTCGATTTTGCGGCTCGGAAGTAACTAGCGCACTGCTCGATTTTTAGGAAACTCGGCAGAAAATTTATTAGTGAAATTCTTCTTCCACGGTCTTCAGTATGGTCTTGGCTATCTCCATGCAAAGTTTCATAATTTTTAAAATTGTACCGAGGAGTTGTCTTGACTGAAAACTCTGTCCGGATTATTTAGCTCTTTGACAGAGTTGTTACACAGACCATACCAACAACTCTCTGTTTTCAGGATGCTTCTAGGATATCATTTTAAATATGTGGAGCTTATGGACATAAGAAACAAGGAAGCAAGCTAATGTGACCATTAGACCCTCTGCTACGGTTTTACAAGACCTCATCAAAGAACTATGAAGTCATTGTGACATTTTTCATTCTACTTATCGACATTAAAGCTGATTAATGATTTTTGATAGAGATTTTGGCAAAAAATACAAACAGTAATCGAACTACGCGTTACTTTGTGCCACTATGATCTTCCTCAGACTCTTAAAGATGAGTATGAAGTTATAATCAACACAAAATCAAGTAAATGGTAAGAAAGATTCTGATGTAACAAACTTTAATTATACACTTTTTTTAGATGAATTGAAAAAAAGATTGTTGTTATGCAGAAGACCCCACATTGCATTTGGGTTATTTCCGAATGTAACTCCAAAAACGACTGAACTAGTAATTCAAAGAGCTAATGTAATGCCCATATTATGGGCCCATTTCTGTTGGACGGCTCGAAAGTCATGAAATACTATCCCTGCAATCACCATATAATTTTTCGGGCCTGTGTGCCCTGCCCCTGTCTTACGATCGGTTAGTCGGAAAGCTTAAAAGTCATAAAATACTGTCCCTGCAATCATCACATGATCATTTCGTGTGTTTTATCCTCATTCACACGATTTTAGAAATCAGTTCTCAAAAGGTTATCCATCTTAGTCCTACTCCAGCTCAAGCATGCTTACTTGTGCAGTTCTCTCTGAACCAGTAACCGAAAAGGTATGTGCATTTTGGTAATATAGGTAGCTAAATCATTTCTCTTAAGCTTCTCCACATATACTTTTATATTCTTGAGATTGGAATATTACAACTAATGCATAATTTGATGAGACTAGAGAGGTTGAGATAGATATACCCGAAGCTTTCTTGATTACTGGAGAGGTTGAGATAGATATACCCGATGCAAACAATACGTTTAGAAATATTCAAGCCTCCCACGTTCTCTACAAGCCTTAGCTCAAACTTATGGACATCTCATGTGATTAAGTTAATGCTTTTCTCTTAGACGTATCCGGATTATTTAGCTAGAAGAATAAGAAGTCAGAGAAAATGAAGAAAATAAAATATAAGTGGGTAAAAAAGAAAAAAAAATAAAGTCTTATGAGATGAAGACGATGAAGAATCCAAAAAATGAGAGTAGAACAAAGAAAAAAAATAAAAGATATATAAAAAGAGAAGAAGATGAAAGAGAAGAACGTAAGATTTGAAGAATAATAAAAGTCATAAGAGGAAGAAAAATAAATATAGTAGAGAATGCAGAAAATAAAAGTGGAAGAAGGAGTAGATGACTAAAAAAAAGGCAAAGTGAATTGTTAGAGAAAATGAAGAAACTAAGAAGGAGAGGGAAGAAGAAGAGGAAGAAGAAAACTAGCAAATAACAGGAAGTAGAAATGAGATTAATATGATAAAAAGGAGGAGTATGAGAAAACGAGAAAGAAAAAAATTAAAAGATAAAGAAGAGGAAGAAGAAGGAGATGAAGCCATTAAAGAAAAAATTGATAAAATAACAAGAATTAAGACTAATACAAAGTAGAATTACAAAAAAAAAAGATGAATGATACAATGATGAGGAAGAAGTAAACAAATTTTTTTTTGAAAATGATAAAATTAGAAAAAAAAAAGAAAAAAGTTTGAAGAGATGACAAAAACTATGAAGAGGAAGAAGAATTCATAGAAGAAGAAAAAACCAAAAAAACATAGAAGACAAAATAGAAGAATGAATGACTTCTTTCTCAGAATTCTAGAAGGACATTAAAAGCGATTATTAAATCTATTGAGTTATTTATGTGTATTGATTTAGTTTTGTGTATATTTAAGAATATTTAAATTTAATTCTATTATATATTAAATATACAAATTTAGTGTGAAAGTTAGAAAATATGTTACAACCGCAAATGTTAAATTTATTGAAACAAAGTCAAGATGATTCTATATGGTACTATATATGTTTGTTTTTTTTTTAAAATGTTATCGATTTCTTAATATGTGTACGCCCACATATGGTGTAAACGACCTAACTATCACCAAACTGTATAAAGTAAAATAAGTGATTTGTTCCACACATTTACAAACAAACAAAAAATATTAAAAAAATAAAAAATATTATATTAATAAGTGATTGAAGTAATAACATAAAGTTAGAACAACAATAATCCTCAATGTTTTGAAAGTTCAAACTATTTAAATAAATTTAAAATAATAGCTTTTCATACTTTTGAACTCAATCGATGTCTATAGTATAAAACAGAGTCTGTTATTTTTCTTATTACTCATTGTCATCTTGATGATTAAGATTAATAGAAGAAATTGTTGAAAAAAAGATTCAAAATTAATATTTATGAGTTTTTTATATTATTCAATTTTAAAAATTAAAAATATTTTTAAAATCTTTATGCATGCGCCTTAATCTACATTAATTAATAAAAGGATTCAATAAGATTTGACCTATGTTTTACAAGTTAAATTTCTTCTACAAAAAAGTTATCATCACCCTTACTCATATTTTTGTCAGCACAATTATTCAAAAAGTTACTCTTATATCATTTAAAAAAAAAGTAAATTGAATCAGATTGTTTATTTATTTATTTTGACCATCTTTAGGTGTGAAACATATTTTATACAAAACTATCACAAATTCGAATATCAAATGGATTTCTAATTCTGTTTATAATTCTCACAATAATTACTTTAATTAAAACTATATAAAATTTAATTTATAATCGGTTTATCCTGCATGTACTCTCCTAATTAATATATAATATTATCGTCTTAATTATTAAAATTATCAAAGTATCACAACAACGTTTGGAGAAATGAAATTTCTGTTTATAATTTTTTCATGCACAAACGAGGTATCATAGGTTTGTATCATTCGCATAAAGCATTTTACAAACGAAATAATCCCCATTTGCGATCATTTCAAGACAACTAATGCGCCGGCCACTTCCACCCGTTTTCTTCAATAATAGTGTTTACTTTGGCAAGCTCTTTTGGTTTCCCAAGGATAGCGGTAGCTGGGGTTCCTACCGCTTTCTTCGCTCCACGAATGAGACAGAAAGTGAGAGGAAAAAGCACGTTCTCTCTTTGCGAGGTCCGAAAGTGGAGAACGCATAGCATTCTCTGGGCGGTAGGGTTGCTTACTGCTGGTCAGTTAGTTGCTTCCGGTCAGTTCCCTCTAAGTGAGCCAAGGAAGGTTGCTTCTCTTAAGACTGGGGTCCAAAAGAGCTTCCTTAGCATTAACTTCCTCATACCGAGGATACCATAGAACTCCGTGCCTCTCACATTGGGAACTTCGCTCACTTCCTAAAACACTGGAAACCCAATTTTTTAATAGTTGATCGAATTATTGATTTGATTTGCATCCGGTATGTATTGTAGCGATATATTAGATTTTAAGTTAAATAAGTAGAAGACAGAGAAAACAAGAAAAATCTAAAAAGAGAATCCAACATTCATGGTTCTGGTAAAACAAATCATCCTAGTTTATTATTAGAAAGTCTTAGCAAAGATTGTCGGTTCTATTAATTTTCTCTACCTTAGGAGGTTTCATAACGGAAAAAACAGCCTTATCAGTTATCACACATCTAATCCTGAGGTTGTCTTAGTCGTTTTTTGCAGCATCGTAAAAATATCCCTCCTTTCTTAAGATACATCTGACTTTCAGAATGAAAACTAATCATCATTTAAATGCCCAAGGATTAAATAAACCAGGGGATTAATAATCTTTATGTTCTCTAGGATCTCTAGTCATAATTTATGTTTTTCTTGTAAAACTCATCAGCGATGTGGGAGATATTTCCCAGGATTACTTACGTCGCAGAAGTTTTTAGGAGTAAACTAAGGATCTGTTGATTTTGAAAATACCCCTAAAACAAAAATAAATGATACCACAGATCTTATAAATCTAAGTTTTTGCTTAGATTTTGGATTTTGTAAGCATGAGTTGTTTCTTAGGGTTATCACCACACAACAAAAGTAAAGACAATGAAGGCTCATCCATGACTGCTCATTACGAACAACCGAACCCGCCGTGTAAGCTCTTGTTAATAAAAACTCTTAGAAAACGGGTCGGTTTGTTTTGGTTTTTTTTAATGTTTTCCAAATTTGTTAACAGGGAATGATCGGAGACAAATAACAATATGTGAATCGGTGCCAATGAAAAAAAAATCACCAAACAATATCAAGGCAAAGAGTTTCACATTCCGTGAATTAGCGACGGCCACGAACAACTTCAAGCAAGAGTTCTTGATCGGAGAAGGAGGGTTTGGGAGAGTTTACAAAGGAAAGCTGGAGAAAACAAAACAGGTAAGCGAAACTAAGAAATAGAAAGCTTTCATCTATAAACAAAGACAAGAGTCTCTTATTTTGTTGTTTCTTGGTGAATTTAGGTTGTGGCCGTGAAGCAACTTGATCGAAATGGATTGCAAGGGAACAGAGAGTTTCTTGTAGAGATCTTCGTGTTAAGCACTCTTCATAATCCAAATCTTGTCAATCTCATCGGATACTGCCTTGATGGAGACCAGAGACTTCTTGTTTACGAGTTTATGCCTCTTGGTTCCCTCGATGATCATCTCTTTGGTATTTTATTCTCAATCCCTAAACTGGTTTCGTTTGTGCACTATATGTCGAAACTAGATTTAACCGGCTAGTTTTATGTTCTAATTGAACCAGATGTTGCACCAGAGAAACAACCATTGGATTGGAACACTCGGATAAGGATCGCCTTCGGAGCTGCAAAAGGGCTTAAATATCTTCATGAAAAGGCAAACCCTCCGGTGATATATCGAGATTTTAAATCGTCCAATATATTGCTTAATGGAGATTTCCATGCAAAATTATCAGATTTTGGTTTGGCAAAACTTGGTTCGGTTGGGGACACACAAAATGTATCTTCCCGAGTTACGGGAACCTACGGTTATTGTGCTCCTGAATATCACAAAACCGGTCATCTAACGGTTAAAGCGGATGTATATAGTTTTGGAGTCGTTTTGTTGGAACTCATAACCGGTAGACGAGTTGTGGACACAACAAGACCGTGTCATGAACAAAATCTGGTTACTTGGGTAAGTCTCGTTAACTTTTACATACATTTCGAACGTCTTAAACTATTTGTACGTTCTGTTCAAATTTTGTATTACGAACAGATACAATATGATAAAAGGAAATTTGAAATATTATGGCCTTAATTTATAACATCTAGTTGAAAAATTCTTTGAGAAACTTGTATTTTTAATTTAAGACTTCATAAACTGTTAGGTGAAAGTGAAACTTCTTGATTACTTATGGACCAAATATAACTATTCAAATTTAATTGGTTTAGCAGTTCTTGCTTGAAATTCATCTAACTTAAGACATCTATGATTGTTGTTTAGGCACAACCGATTTTCAGAGAACTGAATAGATTTCCCGAGCTAGCGGATCCACTTCTTCGAGGGGATTTTCCGGAAAAAAGTCTAAACCAAGTCGTAGCGGTCGCAGCAATGTGTCTGCAAGAAGAACCAATAGTTCGACCATTGATCAGCGATGTCGTCACCGCCTTAAGTTTTATGAGCACCAAAACCGATTCACCTTCCGGTTTGAACGGTGCCGTCCTTAATTATCAATCTTCGTCTGGTCAGATTCAAACTATGGAGGACCTGCTTCAGTATGAATCAGCTCCAAGATATGTAACACGATAAAGACTTATCAAACGCCAAAATTATTTTTGGTTTTCACATTAAAATTATATTTATGTAATATTGTATAGTTAATTATTCACCACACCACATGATATATAATTGTTTTGAAAAACAAGTTTTCCTTTACTTCAACAATTCAAAAAAAAGTTAACGGGAATCTCGCTGGAACTACAATCATAATCAGCATAAGATCTAATAACCGAATGAAGCTTCTATATAAACGAAATGATCTTCTAGCTTCATTTTTCAGTTAACTTTGTTGAAGAAGAACCAATCAATCTACCAACTCAGCTCCTAGTTGTTCTCTTTTGATTTGTCCTCCTCTTATATCCTCAAGGATGTCCTTGAGTCCCATAATAAGCAAACCAAGCTCCTCTTCTGATACAATACCAAAAATCAGTAAATCAAGGGTCTTCAATATGTGAATTATTATTAGAATCTGTTCTTCATAATTATCAAAGTCAAAAGATTCTCATTCAAGTCCAAAGCAAGATTGGTGGCAAGAAGACTATTATTTGATTTAGCTTATTTTTCTTCTTTTGTCCAAATGTAAATAATTTAAATTAAATGTAATTTATTGTAAAGATTCTTTGTAAAAGCTATAAAAGCTCATTGTTATCATTGTAAAAAGATAAAGAAATTTTTGGATATTAAAAGAGATTTTTCTCTAAAGCTTTGGCTTTGTTTTTGTTTATCTAAGCATGATGGAATTCTTCATTTAGTAAACATTTGAATCTATGTCTCTTGTGTGCGATGCCTTGAGACTAGGTTTGTGAACTCATCACAGGGGCTTCCACACCCTTGAGTGGCGTTCTTCGATCCACCCATCTATCCATCTCATCCACTGATCCAGCCTGAAAGAGACTTGAGTCCAGCAGGATTGATCCCGCAACCATCCACTTCGATCATCTTTCAAGCAAGTAGAAAGAGACTTCAGTCCAGCTGCTTGCTTCCACCCATCACCCAACCATTTATAAGATTATCCTATTGATCTTATATCATTTGGTATCAGAGCTAAAAGCTCCTATCCTCTATCTTTTTTATTTCTTTTTTGTTTTTGTTTCATGATTTACAAGATTTCATTAAAAAGAAAAAAAAAGTTTTGGTTGTTTTTATTCTTTAAATTTTATAAAACTACAAAAAAAATCAGAAGAAATATTTTTATGTTTTTGTTCTTTGATTAATGCTTTTTTATTAAAAAAAAACATAAAATTCATAAAAAAAAATTCAATTGAAGTTTGTTTCTTTCATTAAAAGAAAAACAAAAAAAAACTCTATTTCTATTTATGTTTTTTATTTATTTCGATTTTTTCTGTTTACAAAAAAACATAAAATTAAAAAAGGTTTTTTTTTATTTTCTAAATAATATTTGCAAAAAACAAAATTAAGAGTTTTGAGGACAAAACCATTTGAAGAGGGAGAGAATGATACAATACCAAAAATCAGTAAATCAAGGGTCTTCAATATGTGAATTATTATTAGAATCTGTTCTTCATAATTATCAAAGTCAAAAGATTCTCATTCAAGTCCAAAGCAAGATTGGTGGCAAGAAGACTATTATTTGATTTAGCTTATTTTTCTTCTTTTGTCCAAATGTAAATAATTTAAATTAAATGTAATTTATTGTAAAGATTCTTTGTAAAAGCTATAAAAGCTCATTGTTATCATTGTAAAAAGATAAAGAAATTTTTGGATATTAAAAGAGATTTTTCTCTAAAGCTTTGGCTTTGTTTTTGTTTATCTAAGCAAGATGGAATTCTTCATTTAGTAAACATTTGAATCTATGTCTCTTGTGTGCGATGCATTGAGACTAGGTTTGTGAACTCATCACAGGGCCTTCCACACCCTTGAGTGGCGTTCTTCGATCCACCCATCTATCCATCTCATCCACTGATCCAGCCTGAAAGAGACTTGAGTCCAGCAGGATTGATCCCGCAACCATCCACTTCGATCATCTTTCAAGCAAGTAGAAAGAGACTTCAGTCCAGCTGCTTGCTTCCACCCATCACCCAACCATTTATAAGATTATCCTATTGATCTTATATCATTTGGTATCAGAGCTAAAAGCTCCTAGCCTCTATCTTTTTTATTTCTTTTTTGTTTTTGTTTCATGATTTACAAGATTTCATTAAAAAGAAAAAAAAAGTTTTGGTTGTTTTTATTCTTTAAATTTTATAAAACTACAAAAAAAATCAGAAGAAATATTTTTATGTTTTTGTTCTTTGATTAATGCTTTTTATTAAAAAAAAACATAAAATTCATAAAAAAAAATTCAATTGAAGTTTGTTTCTTTCATTAAAAGAAAAACAAAAAAAACTCTATTTCTATTTATGTTTTTTATTTATTTCGATTTTTTCTGTTTACAAAAAAACATAAAATTAAAAAAGGTTTTTTTTTATTTTCTAAATAATATTTGCAAAAAACAAAATTAAGAGTTTTGAGGACAAAACCATTTGAAGAGGGAGAGAATGATACAATACCAAAAATCAGTAAATCAAGGGTCTTCAATATGTGAATTATTATTAGAATCTGTTCTTCATAATCATCAAAGTCAAAAGATTCTCATTCAAGTCCAAAGCAAGATTGGTGACAAGAAGACCATTATTTGATTTAGCTTATTTTTCTCCTTTTGTCTAAATGTAAATAATTTAAATTAAATGTAATTTATTGTAAAGATTCTTTGTAAAAGCTATAAAAGCTCATTGTTATCATTGTAAAAAGATAAAGAAATTTTTGGAAATTAAAAGAGATTTTTCTCTAAAGCTTTGGCTTTGTTTTTGTTTATCTAAGAAAGATGGAATTCTTCACTTAGTAAACATTTGAATTTATGTTTCTTGTGTGCGATGCCTTGAGACTAGGTTTGTGAACTCATCACAGGGGCTTTCACACCTTTGAGTGGCGTTCTTCGATCCACCCTTCTATTCCATTTCATCAACCGATCAAGCCTGAAAGAGACTTCATTCCAGCAGATTGATCCCATCACCATCCACTTCGATCATCTCTTGAGCAAGTAGAAAGAGACTTCAGTCCAGCTGCTTGCTTCCACCCATTCACCCAACCATTTATAAGATCATCCTATTGATCTTATATCATTTGGTATCAGAGCTAAGATCTCCTTATCCAGGTGTTTTCAGTTCCCTTCTCAAGTTTTTGATTTTTATTTTCATTCATTTTTCCCCTCTTTTAAAACTAAAAACCCACAAAAACTGTTTTAATTTTCATCTGTCTTCTGCGAATTCTATAAAATCAAAAAATCCATAAAAATTGTTTTTTCTTTTTGTTTCGGTTTATTTAATCTCTTAAAAACACAAAAAAGTATTTCCCAAAATTATTCGGATTGTTTGATAATTTGTTTTGATTTTTCAACTCAATTGGTCAAATCAGCTTAATTTTGTGTTCTTCATTTTGTCCAATTTTTATAAAATCCAGGAAAACTCAAAAAAATTAATTTATTTTTGTTTCTGTTAAATTAAACACTTAACAACAAAAACAAAATTGTTTCTTGATTTTTCCAAATCATTTGATATTTTATCTTTGATTTTTCATTCAACTGCTAAAACAGCCTGAAAACTGTTCTTGTGTTCTAGTGATTCATCTTGAACAAACTTTGATCTTTTGTACTTGAATCTTATTTGCAAGGTACTAGATGAAGATCCACCACCAGTAGACCCAATGCAGGCAATGATGGCCATGATGCGAACACAATTCGCAGCCATCAATGAAAATCTTGCCAACCTCAATGCCAATACCCAAGCCACTGCTGAAAGGTTAAATCGCTTGGAGAATCCAGCACACCCTCCACATCTATTGCCAAGAAGAAACATTCCAGGAGGTCAACAAGATGCAAATCGTGTAGAGGAGCCCCCTGATGTACCACCACGAGCACCAGACCCTGTACAAGCTGCCCCAGACATTTTAAATAGGAGAAATGCTGATCGCAACAGGCCATACCAAGAGGATAGAAACATGCCACCAGAAGTCAAGCTTGCTGCTCCTACTTTTGCAGGAAAGATTGATCCAGCCGCCTACCTAGAGTGGGAAAGAAGAATGGAACATTTGTTTGAGTATTACTCTTACAATGAACCAAAGAAGATGGCCTTAGCAATTGCAAGTCTCATTGATCATGCCTTAGCTTGGTGGGACAGAGAAACAGCTGAAAAGAGGAGATTAAGATATCCTCAAATCAACAGATGGGCAGACATGAAATTTGAGCTACAAAAGAGGTATGTTCCCCCTCATTATCACAGAAATTTACTAAAAACATTTAGGTCTTTGTATCAGGGAACCAAGAGTGTAGAAGAGTACTTTGAAGAATTTGATGTTCTAAGAAGTAGGCTGGAGTTAGAAGAATCAGAGGAGTCCCTCATGTCTCAATTCATGGATGGCTTACAAGAGAGGATACAAAGAAAGATGGAAATGCAGCCTTACCACTCCTTACAAGAACTTCTCCACTTGGCCATTCAAAGAGAGCAACAAATCAAGAAGAAAACCTCTACTAGAAGAGGCTCAAACAACAATACTTGGAATCAACAACAAGCTCAACAAACTCAGCAGCAGCAGCAGCCAAACCCCACACCATTTATAGACAAAGGAAAGGGGATAGCCATAGAATCACGCTTCAAACCTCATGGCCAAGAGCAAGGTAAGTCAAGCAACTCAAATAGACATCATGACATTATTTGTTTTAAATGTCAAGGCAGGGGTCATGTTTCAAGGGAATGTCCAAACAAGAGGACCATGATTCTTAGACCAGATGGTGGTTATGATTCTCAAGATGAGGAGATGGCTGAATATTCAGAAGAAGAGATCACCAACTTTGCTGAAGAAGGAAGCCTTCTAGTAATTCAAAGGGCATTAACTACACAACCAATCTTTGAAGATCAAGAGCAAAGAGATAACCTCTTTCATACCAGATGCACTATTAAAGACAAGGTATGTCATTTAATCATTGATAGTGGTTCATGTGCTAACATTGCAAGTGTTTCTTTGGTAGAGAAACTTAGTCTTCAAACAGTGCAGCACCCTAGACCCTACAAGCTC